AAACCTTTTCCAACAACAGTCACAGTTTTTAGTGTTAAATCACGAACACGACCCAAATATTGACTTGTCTCATCAACAACACCGTGAAAAAAAGTTCTTCCTTTTCTCACCTCTGATATTTCACTCCCCGACTTACCACACGAGAGCGCTGTTGCCAACGTTTCCGTTTCACGTTTTTCCCCTGCTCCATGTGTGCGTGTGCATGCGCATGCGCAGTCATTACTGAACCGAAGTACCAGTCGTAGTACTGTAGTAGCTTTGGGGTAACCCCCCCCCACCAGTACCAGTACCAGGACCAGTACCAGTACCAATACCAGTACCAGTACCAGTACCAGTACCAGTACCAATACCAGTACCAGTACCAGTACCAGTACCAATACCAGTACCAGTACCAGTACCAGGACCAGCAGTCTTGTTCCTCAGTTTCCCAGCTTGTCTTTGTTGATATTTACTACATTGTGATATTTATGAACTTTACTGGATACTAAGACAGACCTGACAAAATGTGCTGTGTAGTACTTGTGTACTGTGTAGTACTTGTGTACTGTGTAGTACTTGTGTACTGTGTAGTACTTTGATAGTAGTGGTCAAAGGTTGACCAAACACATTATGTTTTAATTAATGATTAAACTTCACCTGGAAAGAGTCACAGGTGGAGCACACACACACACACACACACACACACACACACACGCAGGGAAGAGTCAATACATGAAGCTGGTGGAGCAGGGAATTGAACCAATGATGACTTTTGTTTTGGTTCTAGTCAATATACTGTATATATTTACACCATCAGATAGTTAGTGATAAAAACTACCATGGTGGTGAGTGAAGGACCCTAGTGGCTGACTGAGGTAGTGACTGGCTTTACTGCAGCGATGGAGATGAACCATTTACATCCTTCAGGTTTCAGTTTGTTTAGAGCGGCCGCACTGTGGCAGCTGCGGTTCGGTCCGAGGGTCCTCAGCAGCCGCTCGTCCGCTGACCCTGATAGACTGTCCACACGTCCTGGAGCTGCCGTGAGTTCTCCAGAAGCGTTGCGATGACCCCGGTCCAGTAACAGCCAAAGGTCCAGAAAGGTTTTTGTGGCTGGAACAGACTGCTCTGAGGAGGTTCTGTGGGTCTGAGTCCCAGATACCTCATACACAGACCCACGTAGACGTCTTCAATGTAAACAGCCCTCACATGCATGGACGCCTTCAGCAGCATTCTGGGTAAATCCATGGAGAACACATAACCCATTCCCTGCAGGTAGGGGGGGTAGACGGGCTCGGGGAAGACGGACACGGGCAAAAACCATTTCGAGGCAGGGTTTCGGTGTACCGCGGCCCCCCTGACCACCAGGCCAGTCATGTACAGACTGCGAGGGGCTTCAACCAACAACCGTACCAGTCTGTGGACGTTGAGGAATATGTCGGAGTCGATCTTCATGGCGTAAGCGGCGCTGGGACAACGTGAGCTGAGCCACTCGAACATCAGCATGGTCTTGATGGTCAGGTTGTTGTAGCTGTCCACCACGTCACTCTGCAGGACGTCCCCGTGTCTCCGGCCTTCCTGTAGCAGCTGCACCGGGACCACAACCAGAAACAGTTCTGAGTACTGAACCAGGTCTGCACAGGTCCGTACAGAGGAACTGTTATTTAGCAGACATGCTAACAGGAAGTCAGTTGTTTACTGGCCTTTAGGCTCCGGGCCTCGAGATATATGTCCTGTATATATGTCCTGTATATATGCCCTGTATGTATGTCCTGTATGTATGTTCTGTATATATGTCCTGTACATATGTCCTGTATATATGCCCTGTATGTATGTCCTGTATATATGTCCAGGACATATATGTCCTGGACATATATACAGGACATATATGTCCTGGACATATATACAGGACATCTATACAGGTCATATATACAGGACAAATATACAGGACATACATATATACAGGACATCTATACAGGTCATATATACAGGACAAATATACAGGACATACATATATACAGTACATATAAACAGCACATATATACAGGACATACATACAGGGCATATATACAGGACATACATACAGGACATATATACAGGATATACATATATACAGGACATATATATACAGGACATATATGTCCTGTATATATGTGCTGTTTATATGTACTGTATATATGTACTGTATATATGTCCTGTACATATGTCCTGTATATATATGTCCTGTACATATGTCCTGTATATATATGTCCTGTATATATGTCCTTTATATATGTCCTGTATATATATGTCCTGTACATATGTCCTGTATATATATGTCCTGTATATATGTCCAGGACATATATGTCCTGTATATATGTCCTGTATGTATGTTCTGTATATATGTCCTGTATATATATGTCCTGTACATATGTCCTGTATATATATGTCCTGTACATATGTCCTGTATATATGTCCAGGACATATATGTCCTGGACATATATACAGGACATACATACAGGACATACATACAGGGCATATATACAGGACATACATATATACAGTACATATATACAGTACATATATACAGTACATATATACAGCACATATATACAGGACATCTATACAGGTCATATATACAGGACAAATATACAGGACATACATACAGGACATACATACAGGGCATATATACAGGACATACATATATACAGTACATATAAACAGCACATATATACAGGACATATGTACAGTACATACATATATACAGGACATCTATACAGGTCATATATACAGGACAAATATACAGGACATACATACAGGACATACATACAGGGCATATATACAGGACATATATGTCCTGTATATATGTATGTCCTGTATATATGTGCTGTATATATGTACTGTATATATGTATGTCCTGTATATATGATATATGTATATGTATGTGCCCAGTGAGCCCGTCCTCACCTGCTCCTGCAGGACGTCCGTCTCACTTGCGTTCCTGGACCGGCCCATAAGGAAGTAGTGAGTGACTGTCCGTCCCATCACGTTGGTTTCTCTGGCCCACGTGCTGCGGATGATCCGACGGGCCTCGGTGTCACGTGGTGCCACCGGTATCATCAGAACCAAGAAGGGCTTCTCTTCCCCACATCTGTCCGGCTGGTCGATGATAAAACTGTGTTGCAGCGGGTAGGAGACGAAGCACTGGTCTGTGGAGACCTGGGGGGGGCAGTAGAGAGTACACACATGCAGCAACAGTACACAGCCTGTAGTGGTACTGCAGTACAGAAGATACACTGAGGAAACAAGAGCGAAAATGTTTGTACATGAGGTACATGTAGGGGGCAGTAGTGGACCTGAAGTTTGTCTGTGGAGATGGTCAGGTCTGTGTCCCACTGCTGCTGGTCCAGGTTCTGTGTTCTGGTCCAGTAACTACTGGACCCTGTCCTGTACAGGTGTGTATGTGTGTGTGTGTGTGTGACACTCACGCTGCAGCCTTCACTCGTCTTCACGCTGTTGTTTGTTCTCCATAATCTGGTCAGCGACAGTTCCGCACTGAGGGAACTGTTAAGGTGGAACACAACAGTTCCAACCATGAGCAGCAGCAGCAGTGAGAAGATCGGAGAACACCTGCCCCCCCCGCTCCACGGAGCCCTCCCCCTGCTGAGACAGAAGAACAGCACAACATGTCAGCTGTCTTCAAGAACCCAGAGGAACCCAGAGAACGTAGGGTTTAATACATATATATAAATCCACTCTTATAAGCTGTGGTATGAGCCCTCTGCCCCTCCCCCCACCCAGCTGCCCCTTGGACTGACCCACCCAACCATTTGCAAACAAGTCATAAACAGGTGTTTCTGTGACTGAGTCAGAATCTGTGAAAAATACAAAAGAAAACACATTCATGGTTAAACTAAAACTGAGTTAAAGTTGACTTTAACTCAGGTCAGACGTCCGTGACCCGTCACCCCACGTCACCCCACGTCACCCCACGTCACCCCACGTCAGAGTGGGTCCAACAGTTCCACCGGTGAATCCCACAGATTATGAATCCAAACCCAGACTCACCGTTTAGGAGCAGACGTCCACAGCATTTTCATCCAACGGAGAACAGGTTCAGAGCTGACAGCTGCAGCGGGCTAACGCTAACACACACACACACACACACACACACACACACACACGCCCACAAACAGGTATCAGCCAATACTCTGGTGGTAGGGTTGGTGCTGCTGCCGACCCGTCTGATTTAACAGTTCTGTTTTGTTTGGTTAAAAATGTGAATTACAACGACCATTTAGGAAAATCAGAGAAAAACATCACTGTTTAGCTAACGTTAGCTAACGTAACGTTAGCTAAGTCCAGACTATGGACTGGACTATGGACTCAGTGACCGTCCGTCAAAATCACAGCTGGATTGGTGATGAAAACTTTGCAGGTCTTTGAGAATTTGGCCTGATGTTAAAACAATAACAGATCCTGAAGGTTTCAGGTTCGAGTCCCCCCCACACACTGCCCCCTGCTGGCTTTGGTGACACTAGATGACTGTCCCTCCTCTCCCAGTCGTCCTTCTTTGTCACACGTCTCCTGAAAAAAAAAACGCTGAACTTCTGTGTTTATGTGGGGAGGGTGTGTTTGTGTGTGTGGGGGTTAGGGTTAGGGTTAGGGTTGGGGTTAGGGTTAGGTTTAGGATTAGGGTTAGGGCAGGAC